GGCATAATTAAAAATAGTTTAAAGTTAATCCTATTGTCACCGATGGCTTGTTTTACTCCTTTTGTTCTCAGTTTTTATCCATTTACGAGATGTGGTCGTCACTAGCTGGGCCAGCATTTAGTGCCCACCCTTTGTTAGCCTTGAGAAGGTGGTGGCAAAATGCCTTCTTGAATGCTGCATTCCACACGCTTTAACCCACAAAGCCCTTTGGAAGGGAATTCTAAGATTTTGGCACAGAAACAGTGAAGGAATAGCAAGATATTTCCAAGTCAGGATGTTGAGCAGCTTGGAGGGGAACTTGCAGGAGGTGCTGTTCCCATGTATCTGCTCCCCTTGGCCTTCTAGATGGATGTGGTCGTGGGTTTGGAAGGTGCTCTCTAAGGATCTATGGAGAATTTCTGCAGTGCGTCTTGTAGATAGTATACACTGCTGCTACAGAGCATTGGTAGTGAAGGGAGTGGATGCTTGCAAAGATGGTTCCAATCAAGCTGGCCGCTTTGTCCTGGATTGTGTCGAACTTCTTGCGTGCTGTTGGAGCTGAACCCATCCACTTAAGTGGGGAGGCATTCCATCACACTTTTGAATGATGGACAGGTTTTGGAGAGTCAGGAGGCGAGTTATTCACTGCAGTACCCTAGTCTCTGACCTGCTCTTATAGCCACTATGTTTGTGTGGTGAGCTCAGTCGAGTTTCTGGTCAATTCTTAAACACCCCACCCCCAAGTGTGGACAGTGGGGATTTCAGTGGTGGTAACTTAATGTGTGTGAGACAAGGGGGTGGCTAGATCGTCTCATACTGGGCATGGTCATTGCCTAGTGTGGTGTGAATGTTACTTGCCATTTGTCAGCCCAAGATGTCACAAGAACTGTCCAATGCTTCTTGTATTTGAACATGGATTGCCTCAGTGTGAGTCCTCGCAAATGGAGGTGAATATTGTGCAATTATCTGCGAACATCCCCACTTCTGACCTGAAGATGGAGAAAGGTCATTGGATATAGCAGCTGAAGATGGTTAGGCCTAGGACACAACTCTGAGGAACTCCTGCAGAGATGTCCCGGAGTTGAGATGACCAACTTCAACCACAAACATCTTATGTGCCAGGTATGACTCCATCCTGGGGGATGTTTGCCCCCGATCCCCATTGATTCCAGTTTTTCTAGAGCTCCTTGATGCCACATTCAGTCAAATGCAACCTTGATGTCAAAGGCCGTCACTGTCATCTCACCTCTGGAATTCAGCTCTTTTGTTCATGTTTGAACCAAGGCTGTAAATGAGATCAGAATTTGAGTAACCCCAGCAGAACCCAAACTGGGTGTCACTGAGCAGGTGCTGCTCAATTGCACTGTTGATAACACCTTCCATTGTTTTATTGATAATTGGAAGTTGACTGATGGGGCAGTATTCAACAGGTTGGATTTGTTCTGCTTTTGTGTACAAGATATTCCTGGGTAACATTCCACATTGTCAAGTACATGCCTGTGCTGTAATTGTGCTAGAAGAGCTTGGCTGAGGGAGCGCAAGTTCTGGAGCATGAGTCTTCAGTACTAATGCCAGGATGTTGTCAGCGGTCATAGCCTTTGCAATATCCAATGTCCCCAACTATTTTTTTCATGTCACATGGAGTAAATCGAAATGGTCAAAGGCTGGCGCCTGTGATGGGGGCCACTGGCGGAGGCAGAGATGGATCAACTACCCGGCATTTCTGGCTGAAGATTGCAGTGAATGTTTCGGCCTTATCTTCTGCACTGAATGTATGGGCTTTTCCTTCATTGAGGATGAGAAATCCTCCAGCGAGTTTAATTGCCCATCACCATTCACGACTGAACATGGCAGGAGTATAGAGATTAGATCTGAACCTTTGGTGGTGGGTTCACTTAGCTGTTTATCACTTGTGGCTGATGTTATTTTGTGCACAAGTAATCACGTTTGGTAGGTTCACCGGGCTGCCCCATTTCTAAATATGCCCGATTGCATTCTCCATTGAACCAGGTTGATGGTAATGGTTGAGTGGGGGATTATGCCAGGTCATGAGGTTATTGAACAATCAGCCTGTTGTAAAATTCAACAAAAGATTCACTTTTAGCACTTCACAATGTGCTAATATTCAAAGAATTCAGCACTCAGCTTAACTATTTCTGGTGTTAACATTAAGTGTTCCAAGATTGGGCAAAACATCAGAGGATAGAGGATATCCACAAAGACACAACTTGGCCCCAGCTTCAATTTGGATTTTCCTCTATTCGAGCTTTGTCCCAAGAGTGTAGTTCCAAGCACTTGAGCTTCTTCAGTCAAGTTCTCCAAACAGCCATTATTCATATTTAGGTTAGAAAAGCAATCATCGGCAAGGCACTCAGTACAGTGGGTGCTGGAGAGAATCAAAACCTGTTCTTACCTGATACACAACAGCAAATGGATGAGAAGCCTTGATCTTGGTGGAAATTCTCTCTTCATAACCTATACCATGAAGAAGTACTTGGCAGAGATCAGAAGTCAAACTTCATACCTGCTCGCTTATATGCCTCACTGGTACACCAGATGGTGTATTTATTCCTTAAGCTGCAAGGAGCGATTTAATATCCTATTTATAGACAAATTAATTACATGTGTCGTGGCTGTAAGCAAGAAAGCCCAGCCTTACATTATGTACGTGGAAAACTTAGGCAACTAACAGAAAAGATTGAGAGTTTTGTGGTTATTAACATACACAAACCACCCTACCCAAATTGTCAAGAAACAGTTCGGCTTTGAAGGATCATGGTTTTGGAAAAAGACAAAACAAAATCAGATTGTGAAGATCTTTATTCAATGCTATACTTTCTCCAGTAGTCAAGCCTAACACTATCCCACTTTGAAGAGGACACAAACAATTCTTCAAAAAATTTCCAGAATCTACTGGGCTGTTCTCTGTAGCAATGTGCTATAAAGATATCAGTCTATGCTCAAGCTTTTATAAAATGTTTGGAGGCACAATCTTTGAAAGTAATACCAACTCCTTAGGTCTCCCAGCATAAACGCTCAAGGCTTCTGAGATTCTATCCACAATGTCGTGTCCAGGTTACCGGCCAATCAAAATCTGCCTCAACAATGTCCAACAAGCATGATAGCACTTAATAGTAAGTAGTGCTGAGAATACAGACATGTAGCAGTGTAACCTAGACAGGCTGAGTGAGTGGGATTAGGGTATTGAACTCTATGATTAGCAATGTTCAAACTGAATGATGGAGCAGGTTTAAAGGTTCGATTGGCCTGCTCTTTCATCTAAGTTTCTAAGTTACATTACAAATACATTACAGCAGCAGAAATCAATTCTTAAACACAACTAAACCAAATTTAGTCCATATCACTACAGAATTTAAATCAAAAATGGCTTAACGATACAAGTTGGAATAATTCCCCAAATCTCGATTATTCAGAATTAGACAAACAGATTAGAATACTTTGAAAGATACACATCATTTCAGCCCTGATGTTTCCATTTGAACGGATTTGGTTATATGGTCATGTAATATGGAGGGCATATCCAACATGTGCAATTGCATTGCTTGTGACATTAATGTCAGCAACAGAACAGCTTTGCTTACAAAATGCAACAGATTGTAAACAAGTTGAAACAGCATTACAAAATTCTCTCTGGATTAGAATGCCATTTAGTCCAAATCAAAACAACCCAAGTGTCTAAACTACACTTGGATATTTTTAAAAATTAGAATTTTTTTTTGTATAAATGTATAAACCTCCACCCCAGTGCCACGAAACCTGGCCTAGAACTCTCCACTTTGAAAAACACAATTCTTCTCAAAAGGTACCAACATCTTCTGGATGCCTCTCTGCAACATGTAATATAGTCATCAGATTATGCTCGAGCCATTCCCAAGAAACGTTTTGCTCAACATCTGCACACCAAAACATTGAGAAAATAAGACCCACCTATTGGGTCTCGCCAGAATGCATGTCAGAGCTTCCAGAATTCAATCCAGAATAGTAGGCCACTTGAAAAGGGGAACCAAATCAAAGTTTGGCAATGACTAGTTTTGAAAATGACTACTTAATATTAAGTAGCACAGTCGGTCAAAGTCATCAAAACAAAATCTTATACCGGTAAGTCCATACAAATGTCAGCCAGTAAACTGCTTCAAAAAGATTACATATTGCTGTTTATTATTTCCAAGAGGTGTTCACATCCCTTATGTTCACGTCCTTATGCAATATAACTTCCTGCATGGTGTGCAAGAGCCACTTGTATATCAACAGCTATGGGAATGACAGAAAGCGCAAAAGACATGGCTCACAAAGGCCAGAGTTCAGAGCAATGCACAGCATAGGGCTTAGGGCTGCAAGTAGATGGGATGCATCAGAGACAGCTGCTAAACAAGCAACATTTTCAAATGACAGGCACAAACACGGTCTGGAACCAGGAGATGGCACACACCAAAGACACCAGAGGTGAGGAAATCATGTATACATAAATGGATTCAGCAAGAGTCAGGTATGCCTATTCCTGTCACCTGGACCAAGTGTCAGCATTTCTATTAACATATGTAAATAGATGTCCTCTGCATTTCCAACATTGTTGGAAACTATTCCAATATATATCATTCAACAAAGAAATTGGAAATTTTCTTGGAACATGGTTAAAATTCATCCTGGAACCGACATCACCAAAATTGACCAAATAACCATTTGTCTGCTTTATTGAGAGGCTCAGCTATGAATAAATTAACTACCACATTTGTTTACACAGTTTCACTTCTGACACAAATTTGCCTGGACCACTTCTAAAAGTTTTGAAGAAATAAAACGTGCAACATAAATTAAAGCCCTTGTTCCTTCTTGCATTTTAAAAAACTTCTATCTTCAAAAAAGAGCATTCACAAGTAATCGTGGCACTACTGTCTTATTATAGTAATGAAGCTTCAAAAGATTCAAAAGCTAAATCAATTCTTCACCACTTCACGTCCCAACTCATAAGCGAATGCTCCATCAGGTTTTACAACACTCACCTGCTCACTTCTTCATGTCCCTCCTTGGTCAGCACTGGGAGCAGAGGTAGTGATGGCAGTGCTGATGTTTGCAGAGTCGGGTTTTTCTCTCTCTCCTTTGCAATTTCATTTGGCACAGCTTGCTTGAGTTTTTCTTTTGGCGTGGTCAACTCCACTTTCAATGGTTGGGCTTTCGGAATTTTTGCCCCGATGTTCGTTGGTGTTGCCTCTTTTTTATCTGTGTTTGAGTCAAGATCTGTTTTCACCTCCTGAGTAGTCACCTTGACTTTTGGTTTCTCACTTTTAACTGTTACCTGGATCCCAGTGTCTAATGGGGA